TATATATACATATATATATATATATATATATATATATCATAAATATGCCAAAATATCCAAAAGTTGTATAATATGTATTTAAAAATCAAAATAATCACATGATTCTAAAATATGTTTCTGCATATAGCACTTAAGATTTTATATTTTCAACAAATAGTTAAATATTATTTGAAGAATCTTTTAAATATATAATTAAAATATTTTTTTATAAGTTTAATTCTGTCACAACTGTATCTTTAAATGCCAGAATTGAAAGAGATTTTAAATTTATTAATTATGTTTGATAATCATGTTGTTACTCAATGTATTTGTAATATAACTATAATATATATAAATAATATAAAACTATATAAATATAAAACTGTAAAATAATTTGTTATGAAAGTTTACTAATTGAAAATTTTTATTTTAAAAAATATATGTAATATATTAATTGCTATATTGTTTTAAATAAATTACATTACTTAGTATATCTTTAATTAATTTTAATTACTTAATTACTTTTCTTATTATGCTTAATTGATTATTTTAAAATTAATTAAATATAAAGTTTTATGGTGCATTGTTTATCAGTATATTCAATGCATGCTTTTATTTTAATGAACATTAACTTTTTCATTGTATACATTTCAGAACAATGGAAAATATTTCATTTAAACATATTAAAAATTAAACATAACAAATTGATGTATATTTTTAAAATTTTAAATATTTTAAAATTGATTTATTATTATATATAGTAATAATTTGAATTAATTTTACAGCTATTAGTTATTCAAAATATCAGCCCTCCAAAGGTTATTGGTGGGAATTTAAAGATCATGATTCTTCAGGTAATTTTATTTTAAAATTTTCTGTTTCATATAAGAATATTATATAATATTCCCAAAGATTCTCTGAAAATATTTATGAATATTGAATACTTAACTTCTGGATTGTAAGAAGTTGTTTTAATTATGTGCATTAAGTTTGAAAGAATACTTATCTTAAATGTCAAAAATTTATGTATGATTTAATTATTTATTATATTTTTATAATATAATATTTTACAATTAAAAATAATGAAAATAATTCTACTAAGCAAAATCAGAACAGACTGAATTAAAGGAATCAAAAATTTTTTTAATCAACAGTCTTTTTCGATTTTCTAGTCCTTCGACAGCTACTTTTCAATTCTGTACAGAAGAATTTCATTTTAATGGATTGCTCAGGCCATAAAAAATTATCTGTTGTTCTGAGAATTTGTTATATCGTAAACAATGGATTTCCCGCATACCCAGGAAAAGATCTGTTCAAAAAAATTTTCATTTTTTAACCCCTTTATATAAGAAATACCAGTACTTGAAATTATTTAGTTTCTTGAGATTGCTATTTTTTATACTACAGAAACACGTTTGTAACATACATATATTATGCTGTATATGATTGTATGTTATACCATACATGTGTACAACAAAGCTGACAAAAACTGTATATACTGTAGGCATAAAAAGAGGCAAATTACATAAGCTCGTTAGCACTTTGTTTGACTTCATAACTTGTTTAAAAAACTCATCCATCTTTGTGTCTTTTCATGCTGCTTTTCTGTCTATTGTATACAGCACTGCTTGATATTAGCAATGTCATATACAATAAGCCTGTTTGTTTATCTGAAACTTATCAGGAACATCTTTATGACTTGGGAATAGTAGATGGTCTTGCTAAATTTTGGCACTACAGTTGTACCAGCAACAGAGTTCACTAGGTGACTCCTCATCAATTGTATCAGCCAGCTGACTCTTTTTTATACAACTCTTCAATTGTACTGTACATATCCCAAATGTAACAAGTCCATCATTAAAGTCTACAAATTTCCAGAAACACCCAAATGTTAACTATATGTTGAAAAAAAAACACAAAGTTTACAATAGATTTGGGGGTAGAAAAAATTTTTTATTCTGAGTAATGGATCTTCTAAAAGGAGGTAAAATTACATTGATGTGGTGGGACTTGCAAAAAATCTGTTATTCTGAAAAATCCATTGTTCTGTGATCCATTAAAACAAGAGTCTACTGTATATTGTTATAATGGAACAACTTGTTGAAACTTGTTTATTTGATTTGACTAGGCTCTTATTACAACTATCATAGTTTTAATAAATACAATTTGTTAAAATTATATGTATGTATGGTATATGTAATGGAAGACACAAAAGATTCAAATACTTTCAAGTTACTTCACTCATCAGCAGGAACTACGGAATCAAATAAGAAATTCTATTATCATGAAAATCTAGTTTAAACAAAACATATTTACAAGATATTATAAAGTGATAAGAAATAATTAAAACCAAACATGAAACTCTAGTTTTACAGGCTATAACATTAATTCATTAAGGAATGTAACTAGACAATATAAAATTACAGCAAAGATATGAGTAATAACTACTAGAAAATCAAAATGCCTTTAAGTAGTGAACTGCAATAGTGCTTGTAAATCACTTCCAATGACTGGCTAAGTTTTATTGTCTTTGTGATTAATAACTATAGCATTTAACCCTCTCATAAATTCACAAAGACTGCTGTGTTGTCTTCATATTTTAAGGACTCTATGGCGCTTCTCCTTTTATGAAAATTTTAAATTTCTATGTATATTGAGCCAAATTTTTTAAAATTTTATTACATTATACAAATAAATTCATTAGGATGATGGTTAAGTAATCAGAAAACAAGTTTTAAAAATTTCATATTGCAGATTTGAAAATTGAATTAACAACTTTGATTATTTATTTATTTATTTTTTTCAGAATTACAAAATTCTGAAAAAAAATACAAATATTAAACTTTGTAAAAGATGTCTACTTAATTTTATATACATAATGCCATGAAAAATTGTTCTGACATAAATATAATAATTAAAATAAAGCATAGCAGTTAAATAGCAAAAGCTATTATCTAGAACAGTGATGACAAACGTTTTTATGAAGGTTGGTCAAAATTGAATTTGAAATTTATTAACTCCAAATTGCGAGTAGATATTTAATTTGAGTAATTATAAAATAAAAAATGCTGACAAATCAAATTTTACTTTACTTGACTTCTTAAATTAATCTGCATGACAAAAATAACAATAAACTTTACATGATGTGATTATAATAGAAACAAATATTTCACTTATTNGTTTGTTTATAAAAAAATAAATAGAAAAAAATTAAAATGTTTTGTCTTAAATCTTAATTTTTGTCTCTTCATAGTTTAAAATAGATTTGAATGAAATTTGGTACTTTCTTTTAGTCAATTATTAGTATAAAAGATTTTTGCATCATAAATATATATAAAATTTACATACAAGAAGGTTTTGTTTTTATACAGGAGTTGCATTTCGGCAAGTATAAAGTAAAATAAAATTCTTCATAAATTTGTGCTACATTCATAGTAGTTCCAGATGATTGTCCTAGACATTTATGCAATCATTCATAATTAACTAAAAAATATTATCATTCTAAGTTGGCTGTTAGTTGCTTGCCGAAACAGTCGCATCTTTTGTCAGGATAGATGCACTGCATAGCTGAGGCCTTCCTGTGAAATGCCTCAGCTATGCTCCGGATACTGGTTTGAGCTCATTCGAACATCCCAAAAGTAGACAGTCTCACCTAGTCCCAGTTAAAATGTGTTTAAAGCATTCTACTTGTATTTTTACTATAATTAATATTTTGGTCTAGTATTTCTGAATATACAGAGCAAGTTTTTATTATACTGTATAGAATATACTACTGAAATACGTGCAAACTAGGATATTCACTCCAGTGAATAGAATTCAGTAGGTCTTTGTGTTCAGATTGTCGGAAGCTTGAGTAGCATAGTTTACTGACTTAAGAAATAGATTCAGTGGCACTAGAATTGGGTCAACGTAACATTTGACGTCTGTGAAATTAAATTTGCATATATCAGTCCTGCATAAAACAAGATTGTTCCAAGTTACAAAATGTAAAAACATTAGATGCCAAGTAATGTTACAAAATTAACAACACAACTGTCTATTGGCATTACTGAAAACGTTTATTTACACAAGTATTTTTGACAGTATATACTACCCTAGTTTTTCATAATTTATAATCTACAAATCAGTATGTTTCCTATTAACATTGAATGTTGTTCTAAATTATTTTTATGTAAAACTTTGTAATTTATCTTGATATTTAAGGAGAAAATAAATTATCTTGATTTGAATTATCAAAATATTAATTGTTACAATTATTAAAACAATTGTTACATCATGTAATGTAATATAACTCTATAATAAAATTTTGTAATTTAAGCAAATTATTAATTATTATTTTTAGAAATGAGTTTTGTAATAAGGTTATTTGATATTGCTAGATGTAATATTTAAAAATAAAAAATTAACCTAAAAGAATGAATATTAAAGAAATTAAATATTTATTTATAAAAATTATTTAAATGCTTCAGAATTTGTAAATTAATTTAGATTTAATTATTAAATTTTAAAGTAATAATTACCTAACACTGTTTTTTGTAAATTAAATATTCGATTAATGAATGTATAATTATTTATTTATAAGTGAATTCTTTAGATAAAATGAGATAGACAGTCATCTGCTAAAAATAATTCTTGTATTTATTATCTCATTATGAACTTTATACAGTCTGAATCATGTCTTATCATGAATAGAATTAGATATTTGGTTACTTGAATAATGAGTAATTTATAGTTTATTTTCTAAAAGACATTTTGAATTGAATAAATTTTATTCATTGAATTTATATATAATTATTTACCATCTGACAGAGAGTTTATCCGTAAATCACTCCAAAATTTTACAAATATGCATAAATAAAAGTTAACATAATGAAAAATAAAGTAAGTGAATAATTCTGAACTGATAACATAACCTATGATACCAATGTTCTAAAGTTTATATTTATTCATTTCAATTCAGATTGATTTATTTATGCAAATGATTTCTTAAATTAATAATTACTTGAGTAAATTTTAAAAAATTCATTACAATATTTAAATCTTGACACCATGATATAAGCTTAATGCATTTATTCTTTATTCTGCTAAGTTGAGCAAGTTTTAAGTTCTTTAAGTTAGTTAAACTTTTATTTTATTTTAATCATGTTTTAATGAATATTATGAAAAATAATCTTATATATTTAACTTGCAATTTATAAGATTAAGTGAATATTTACTTACAATGAAATGTGATATTTTAAGAGTATATTTTGATGATTTCTTTATTTTCAGCTGACAACAGTCCATCACTTACAATCTGCTTTTGAAGAAGGTTTGTATTCTTTGCCATTTAATTTACATAAATTTTATATTTGTTTATAATATTTTAGATATTGAATAATAATGACAAAAACTTAACATGTGACATTTGTAAAAGAAGAAAACTTTTTATACGTTTTAAATGTGTGTTAAATGTTTAATATTAAATAGCTAATAAATAAATACAAAGTGAAATGAAACATTTTTTACATTATGTAATAGTTAAAATTATTTATCATTTTCATTTCATTTTCCCAAAAACTAATATGTAACAATATGGAGAAATAAAAAAAATTGATAAAATGAAATTAATTTATATCAAAAAATGATTGAAAGTGTTCTGAAAGAAAAGAATCAGCCTGAAGCAGGACTCGAACCCACAACTCCCACTTACCTTGTGGTAGCATTGCCAGTTATGTTACACAGATCTTTGTCTGATCCTTGCTTTCAGAACTTAATTAATTATTAACATTAATTTAATTATGATTGAAAGTGTTCTTTCAACTTAAACTGTTAGAATTGTAATTCATTTTTATTTAAATAATAGCATTATTTATTTAAGTTTAATTTACAAGTGATATTACTCATACAATAACCCTGATCTCCAGTACAATGAACAGTGAAATGAATCCCATTAAAAATAAATCAATATAAAATGGTTGTCTCTTTAATCTGAAAATATTTCTCTCAGTAGACTATCTTACAGCAACTTGTAAGATAGTCTACCGAGAGAAATATTTTGTAGACAGTTGANGTATAAAATTAATATAAAAACTCTAGTAATTAAATTCATGTAATGAAAATATATTTTATTTAAAATAATAAATAAACAAAATTAAGTAAAAATGAATCAAATAACTGAAGTAATACAAACATAAGTAAACAAACATTTATACATAAATATCATTGACATCAATATTATCTCACATTGAAATAACTTTTAAAATAGTAAAAAATTTTAGCTTAATTAAATATCAGTTCCATTGTCTTAAATTTCCCTATAAATGTCTAACCTGAAGATTAAATAATTGATTTTTTATAATATAACCAAGCAAAATATCTAACTAACTAAGTAGAATTTAAAAAGAAATGAAGTAGGATTAATACTTATCAAAAATTAGAACAAAAACTTTGGAATATTTGATACAGTGCTGGTTTTTATGGTTTGTTATTAAAAATGATTAAAATTTCTGAAATTAAACAAGTTATTGAAATTTAAAATTAAGATGAGTAAAAATTTTAAAGAAAAGTAGTTGTTGAATAGAAAATTTATTATACAAATACAGTGAAATTACATTAACACGACATCCAGTATGCCAGCAAACCCAGTAAGCCAGCATGTCTAGCTCATTTTTGGAGGGAGTTATCAATGCGTTTGGTACTCGTCTGTATTTTTAGGCAACTAGGTAGCTTGTTAATTAAAACTAAAAATAATAATTAAATAATTTAAAAGTGATTAAATAATAATTAAAACTCTGGTCTTTACACTGAAACTGAAAGTAAAAATGAAATCAAAATTAATTAATTAATTAAAATCAAACTCAAATCAATTGAAACATAATATTTCGGAATGTGTGGATAAAGTACTTGTTGTTCGTCTTAATTGATTTGGTTATATTTCATCCAGGCAGTCAGAATTGAGTCCATTTACAGCATTTCTTTGTAAAGTGTTGGTTTTGGTTTCAGTTGGTGGTGAGTAGGATTTCTCCAACAGGATTTTGGCTGTTTTTGAACCAGGGAAATATCTTTTCATCCCAGGAAATCCTGCAAATTTCTTAAAAATTCACTTTTTTCTTATTTTGTGTTAAAGTTGCAGAAATTTTGCAAATAGAAAGTATAATTAACCCATAAACTGTCAGAATAGATTTATATTTATTAATTTTAAGCCTGCTTATTAGTCTTTTAAATTTTTGCTTATTATGGCATGTCCCAGATTGTGAATAATCAGTGTGTAGCTTATTTGTGACAGGACTCTGAAAATTCTTTGTCAGAATCTGTAATATATGGAATAATTGTGTTTATGCTGTCTTAATTTTTAATCATGCCCAGTAGCTTTGATAACTGCATTATGCCAGGTTATGAAAATTGGACTAGAATACAAATGAGTATGAAGTTTTTCTTCAAAACCTGATTATTAAAGCCAAAGAAACTGTCAAATTGTAAGGCTATAAGCTTGATGCCACTATTAAAGCAGCTAAGGTAGCCAAATCAAGAATACTAGATGGCAAAAGAAGTACTGTAATGCATCTTGTAAACAAACTAGAAATCTTCCAGGCTACAGGTGAAAAAACACATAACATCCGTCTTCTCTTAAAAGTATTAAAGATGATTCTGCCCACATTAATTGAATCAAAAAGAGCATTCTCCATAGCAGGACTTTTCATTACTAAAATAAGAACCAGATTAAGTGATCAGAGTATTGACCATCTTTGCTTTTTAAAATTTTATTATAAAAATTTACAATAATATTTTGTATACTGTTTTTTTCTAAAAAACAAAAATACCTTTTAAGTTAGAAGTTTGATCTAAGTTCATTTTTCTTCTTTAAATTTTCAACTCAATTCAAAGGCATTCTTGTTGTAAGCAGTTTCCAACAAACTTTAATAAATTTTTGTGTTTTTGAAAATTTCTATGTAATTCAAACATAATTTTTTATACATATGTTATACAGCATTATTAATGTTATTATTTTGGAGATTGCAGGATGTATTAAGTTACTTAAAAATGAAAAAAAGACAAATGTAAATGACAATGAATTTATTATCAAAAGTTAGGTACAAACATGGTGTAATCATTGTGAAGATTGTGGCATTTGTCATATCTGTGGACAACATATAATATATAAAATGGATATATATCTAAGTGTACAAAGCCTACAGGAAGATTTGTTTGTTTTTGTTTTAAACCAACCAAGGATAGGAATAGTCTGGAAAAATTAAAATGTCTTGTTAAACAATCATAAAAGGTGGATTTATACAATTTTAAACACAAAGATATATAAAATTGTATCTAGAGAATCGAAAAAAACTGGAAAAATTCATCATCCAATAAGTTGGCATATTCGATAACCAGGCACTGTGTTGGTCTCATCGATGCCAAGTTAACAGAATGTCACTGTATATAGCAGATGAAAAATCATATTAAATTCAATTATACTTTAACAGGTATTATTGTATATCCATTTAACTAATTTATAGAATAACTTTTATCTAATTAGCTACAATATTAAACTTTATTTAATTGGTTGATTGTTTGATATATAGCTTTTTGTAGTATTATAATAATAATACAGTAGAGTCTCAAAAACTCAGCCTAATGTGGACCGAAGGGTGGCTGAGTTTGTGAAAATGCCGGATTATCGGGAATGGGGTTAAAAAAATAAGTATGAGTGTTTCCTCAGAAAATACTGTACTGTACTTGAGAATACAACAGAGAATAAACTGCTCAAATACCCTTAAACAAAGGAAAAAGTACGTCTTTTATGAAGGCATAGAGCCTTTACTACATGAAAATGAAAATTAATGAATACACACTGTGTACAGTAATTTACCTGATAAGACAGACCTCAGAAAAATACTTTATGAGGCATAAAGCTGTCTATAATGAAAATTAATTAACTAAGGATTTTTTTGCCCTGGCCAGGGAGTGGCTGAGTTATCCGGACTGCCGAGTTATCAAGTGCCGAATTTTTGAGACTCTAATACAGTTTAATATTGAAGTAAATTATAAAGGAATATTAATTTTACATATTTTTATTTAACGTTTTAATTATAAATACATTGTTAAAAGAATACAGGATGTCATATTAGCTCAGAAGTTCTTTTTTATTATACATATAATAGAATATTTTAGCATATTATGATATATATATATATATATATCATGATATATGGATATGGCATATTATGATATATATATATATATATATATCATAAATATGCCAAAATATCCAAAAGTTGTATAATATGTATTTAAAAATCAAAATAATCACATGATTCTAAAATATGTTTCTGCATATAGCACTTAAGATTTTATATTTTCAACAAATAGTTAAATATTATTTGAAGAATCTTTTAAATATATAATTAAAATATTTTTTTATAAGTTTAATTCTGTCACAACTGTATCTTTAAATGCCAGAATTGAAAGAGATTTTAAATTTATTAATTATGTTTGATAATCATGTTGTTACTCAATGTATTTGTAATATAACTATAATATATATAAATAATATAAAACTATATAAATATAAAACTGTAAAATAATTTGTTATGAAAGTTTACTAATTGAAAATTTTTATTTTAAAAAATATATGTAATATATTAATTGCTATATTGTTTTAAATAAATTACATTACTTAGTATATCTTTAATTAATTTTAATTACTTAATTACTTTTCTTATTATGCTTAATTGATTATTTTAAAATTAATTAAATATAAAGTTTTATGGTGCATTGTTTATCAGTATATTCAATGCATGCTTTTATTTTAATGAACATTAACTTTTTCATTGTATACATTTCAGAACAATGGAAAATATTTCATTTAAACATATTAAAAATTAAACATAACAAATTGATGTATATTTTTAAAATTTTAAATATTTTAAAATTGATTTATTATTATATATAGTAATAATTTGAATTAATTTTACAGCTATTAGTTATTCAAAATATCAGCCCTCCAAAGGTTATTGGTGGGAATTTAAAGATCATGATTCTTCAGGTAATTTTATTTTAAAATTTTCTGTTTCATATAAGAATATTATATAATATTCCCAAAGATTCTCTGAAAATATTTATGAATATTGAATACTTAACTTCTGGATTGTAAGAAGTTGTTTTAATTATGTGCATTAAGTTTGAAAGAATACTTATCTTAAATGTCAAAAATTTATGTATGATTTAATTATTTATTATATTTTTATAATATAATATTTTACAATTAAAAATAATGAAAATAATTCTACTAAGCAAAATCAGAACAGACTGAATTAAAGGAATCAAAAATTTTTTTAATCAACAGTCTTTTTCGATTTTCTAGTCCTTCGACAGCTACTTTTCAATTCTGTACAGAAGAATTTCATTTTAATGGATTGCTCAGGCCATAAAAAATTATCTGTTGTTCTGAGAATTTGTTATATCGTAAACAATGGATTTCCCGCATACCCAGGAAAAGATCTGTTCAAAAAAATTTTCATTTTTTAACCCCTTTATATAAGAAATACCAGTACTTGAAATTATTTAGTTTCTTGAGATTGCTATTTTTTATACTACAGAAACACGTTTGTAACATACATATATTATGCTGTATATGATTGTATGTTATACCATACATGTGTACAACAAAGCTGACAAAAACTGTATATACTGTAGGCATAAAAAGAGGCAAATTACATAAGCTCGTTAGCACTTTGTTTGACTTCATAACTTGTTTAAAAAACTCATCCATCTTTGTGTCTTTTCATGCTGCTTTTCTGTCTATTGTATACAGCACTGCTTGATATTAGCAATGTCATATACAATAAGCCTGTTTGTTTATCTGAAACTTATCAGGAACATCTTTATGACTTGGGAATAGTAGATGGTCTTGCTAAATTTTGGCACTACAGTTGTACCAGCAACAGAGTTCACTAGGTGACTCCTCATCAATTGTATCAGCCAGCTGACTCTTTTTTATACAACTCTTCAATTGTACTGTACATATCCCAAATGTAACAAGTCCATCATTAAAGTCTACAAATTTCCAGAAACACCCAAATGTTAACTATATGTTGAAAAAAAAACACAAAGTTTACAATAGATTTGGGGGTAGAAAAAATTTTTTATTCTGAGTAATGGATCTTCTAAAAGGAGGTAAAATTACATTGATGTGGTGGGACTTGGAAAAAATCTGTTATTCTGAAAAATCCATTGTTCTGTGATCCATTAAAACAAGAGTCTACTGTATATTGTTATAATGGAACAACTTGTTGAAACTTGTTTATTTGATTTGACTAGGCTCTTATTACAACTATCATAGTTTTAATAAATACAATTTGTTAAAATTATATGTATGTATGGTATATGTAATGGAAGACACAAAAGATTCAAATACTTTCAAGTTACTTCACTCATCAGCAGGAACTACGGAATCAAATAAGAAATTCTATTATCATGAAAATCTAGTTTAAACAAAACATATTTACAAGATATTATAAAGTGATAAGAAATAATTAAAACCAAACATGAAACTCTAGTTTTACAGGCTATAACATTAATTCATTAAGGAATGTAACTAGACAATATAAAATTACAGCAAAGATATGAGTAATAACTACTAGAAAATCAAAATGCCTTTAAGTAGTGAACTGCAATAGTGCTTGTAAATCACTTCCAATGACTGGCTAAGTTTTATTGTCTTTGTGATTAATAACTATAGCATTTAACCCTCTCATAAATTCACAAAGACTGCTGTGTTGTCTTCATATTTTAAGGACTCTATGGCGCTTCTCCTTTTATGAAAATTTTAAATTTCTATGTATATTGAGCCAAATTTTTTAAAATTTTATTACATTATACAAATAAATTCATTAGGATGATGGTTAAGTAATCAGAAAACAAGTTTTAAAAATTTCATATTGCAGATTTGAAAATTGAATTAACAACTTTGATTATTTATTTATTTATTTTTTTCAGAATTACAAANCAGCTTCAAAATATTTTTTGATTTTTTTGAACAAACGTGTTTCCTTGCAGTGCACATCAAACAATTGCAATCGTTCTCTAGGTGCTTTTGAGCTCTTGCACCCACTGTTTCATTTTCCTGTTCATTGCTCCTTATTATTAAGATACTTTGAGATAGTAGCATGAGGTCTTACCAAATTTTTAGCAATCCAAGTTACTTTACTCCCTTCCTGGTAAAATACATCAATTTTGATCTTCTCCACTACAATTAGGTCTTTCCCTTGTCCCATTTTTAATAGTAAAGTATTATGTAATTTACTAAACCTTTCTTTTCACTTGTTCATATATTTTTTTTAATTTCATGCATTCCAATCATTACTTTCTTTGTAATTAATTACAATCAGTACGTGTTCTATTAATGTTGGACATCCTATTTTTGATGATAATATCTAACTGTTTTCTTTATTAATCATTTTCCTCCAAATTTATGCAATAATTGTTGATATTTTGCTATCAAATGTATTGGAAAATTTCATCAAAGTTACACAAAAATAATAGAGTTTCTAGGCAATCACTATGTTCTATTATTGTTGGAAGGACAATATATTAAAAACATATGCAAGATGTTTTTGAGATGAACTTATGGAATACCAATTTAATATAACTGTACAAGTTAATTGTAAAGTCATTAAAATATATAGTATAGTTTTAATGAGTTTACAATCAACTGATAAAATTAACACTGAATAGATGGGAAAGTCCATAGTTCCTTTAATCTGAATTTTATTCTAATTTAAAAATGTTCTTATTTACTTTCAATGAAATAAAATATATACATCTTGAAAAGATATAATCATAACACAATTTTTCAAATAAAGCCAGGTTTCTTCAGGGTTATAAATTAAGAATATCTGATAATTGCATCAGACATCTAGCTCTATTCTTCTGGTTGTCCTGTAATGAAATTCAGTTTTCCATATTGCAAGGTGTTTGTTTTTTTTTCTTTTACAAACTACCAGGTAATAAAAGAAAATCATTATGCTTACATACAAAATAAAACTTTTTTTGATTGCTTGCACATTATAAAGTCATTTATTGAGTCTATACCTGAAAAGAAATCTTGAAAGTCCTCAGCAACCTATAAGGTGTTTTTTTACAGTAGATGCTGACTTAGAAAAATAGAGTATAAATTCTTATTGAGTACGTCCAGAATCTGTGAAAAAAAATCTTTTAATGAAGTAAAATTACATTTATAAACTCAAGAAAGAATTCTGTGATATAAAATATACAAAAAAAAACAGTAATTGGTTACAGTATTAAGAATCGCCTGCTAAAATTCTTTTTAATACATATGTTACTGTAAAAATGATTAACTGCCGATTATGCATAATCACCAATCATCTTAGTGAGTTTGATAAATTTCACTTAATTTCTCACTTTTACTGACAATTTTACATAATTTCAAAATGAAGTTGGTAAATTTAATAAATATGCCGGAATTTCTCACTTTTATTGATCATTATGTATAATTCCCAAATGAATTTTGTAAGTTTGATAAATATTGCTGAATATATTAGTTTTAAAGCAATTTGTGCATAATTTTCAAAATGTAGTGAATAAATTTGATAAATACCATGAAATTTTCCATTTTTTGTTGTTTTAATAAAGTAACTTATGGATTTAAACAAATTTTAATACAGTGAATCAAAAATACATTTTTTGTTTTATTAATAATGGAATGATTAATGCTTCTTGTCCGTTTTTATAAATATTGTAGAAAATGTTTACGAGAACTTTACTTTTATTTAAGAACTTGTTATACCAAAGAGAAGTGTTCACAAAAACTAGAGGATGACAATCATTAGTCAGATGTTTATTGTTACATAAATCTGCAATCTGCGTAAATTGCATAAATTGTAATAAATAGATTCATGTTACAATCAACATCTGAACATATACATGGCACTACAAAAAAATTGCAATATTGAACACACATCACATTGTTAGGAAGTTTCTAGATGCTGACACATTTACCAATAACATAGAAGCTTAATGTAACACTTGTTTGGGTAACTTTGCCTTGACTTTGATCCGACATAGCACTTGGAACCAATATCAGCTGAGCATGACATTTGCAAAATAATAATAATAATAATGTGTTAGAATGATTTGATGAATGTAAAGAAACAGAAAAATCTGTTTCAGCTTGATATGTTTACAAAAATATCAAAAAAATTTGTTGGGAAAAAATATATCTGTAATAATTCTTACTGTTTATTTAAACATGGCAAACTAGCATGACATTTTGAGTTACATAATTTTTCATTTTTCTTGCATTTGCATTCGGTTGAATTACACTTTTCTTTACATGAACACTTTTGGTACCTGAAACTGATGTTTTCTTGCTCACTCCCTGAGAGAATGATGTATGGTACTGTACATTCTCTACTGTAAGAAATTACTTGTCACATAGCACAAACTAGTTATTGGTATACAATTCCCATGTATACCATTGGTATCCTTTGTTCCCAAGTGACTTTACTCACCTTTTTAAATAGAAAAAAAAAAAAAAATTTACTATCAACATATTCACTGGATTGCCTTTTGCGCTGCCCACAATTGGTATTTTTAGCTTTACTGTTTCTTCTACTTTCACTACAGCAAACTTCAGCTCTGATATTTTCTTCATTTTCTTTGCTTGAGCTTTTAAATATGTCTTTGGATTCACTGTCTTCTTCTCAACTTCTTTCTTTCTGATCTTGATTGTAGAAAGACTGATCACTTTCATACCAGACTGTACTTTGGTTCACAAATCAGGGTTAGAGACAACGGGTTGGCTGAGTGTTAGCTGTTCATTTTCAATACTTTTTCTGAAATATTTTCATTGGGTCCTGCTAATTGATGTTAATTTTGATCTAATGACTTAATTATCTTTTGTAGCTCCTGTTTGATACAAACATCTGCTACAGTATCATTTGGAAGGGATGATATCTTCAGCCCAACTTTTAAGGGTCAACCCAACATGGCTTAATAAGGGCTACACTTAATGCCTTGATGATATGAT